GCGATTCCATTGGACTCGAAAGAAAAATGAAGGATATGAAGTGAAGAGATTGGAAATCAAACCCGATTACTGATGTCGAATATGTTTTGCTGAGGAGTTTGTTGAGCTGGTGGTGCATCATTTGATTGCGTGATAATTGAACATTTCGAATTGAACAACAAGCGTACGATCTGATCATCATTCACCATACAAGCATGCATCAGTGGTGTTAAACCATTCTCATCTGGCTGATTCAAGTTCGTTTTCAAAAACTTTTCCTGCACTAAGAATCTAAAATATCACATCAATACGCCGAGCAATCTTAATTAACGCTAAGAGACTTTTCATTAAAGGTTGATACCCGTCACTACGAAGAAAAAATATTCGTTGATGCTTTGTTGTATTAACTTAGAATTTCGACCTTTCGTATACACTAAATAGTTTTCTACAGATCCATTTAATTGTGGAACATGAATAGAGAATGAAAAAAAAACAAAGATATTTGAAGATTCAAACTGATTACGTTACAAGAGTGACACATTTAGCTTGTATGGCCCTTATTAGAGGTGTCATACGAGTGAAGGCTGGCTCAGGACGATTGCCCAACCACGGTACTAATCCATCGAAAGCCGGACGTTCGTATCGCATTAAAGTGTTCGCACCAAATTTATCGGCGAAAATACGTAGCCACGTTTTAGCACCCTCTGACGGTCCTGCAATTTCGAAGAATCCATGCAAACTTCAAAGAAATGGTTTGCGGTCAACGATTGATTTAGAGTGCGATTTTGCACTGAACTCCATCGTGAATGTATCTTTAGGTGTATGCATTCTGAAGATCAATTTGATCACGACTTCGCTGCTAACCGTACTTGCTAGCAATGCTAATCGCTTATCTATGTGACGAAGAAAGCTTAGTGTTAGCTGAATTCAGAGTGTTTGCGTGCTCACCGAATCGAATCCAATGTTCAATCACACCAACAAGTGGATTGTCGTTATCGTATGTGAAATGAACGAGAGCACTCTGAGAATCCGTATGTTTTGCATCCCATTCTTTGAGAGCGTTCAAAATCTCAAAAGAACCATGCTGTGCCAAATACTCGACGGCACGACTTCGTAATGTTCCATTCTCATCCTCTGCATACCACTTCAAACCTGCTGACAAAAGCTCATCGAAAACCTGAAGAAACGATACCAATCATAGAGTTCGAAACTCGTTTCTCTATTGTTCAATGCCTGTTGCTTAGCGATTGAATCTGATGTTACTATGAATTGCAATCGCTTTCCAAACGGAAAAACACAGATTATCGATGGAATGCGATGAACTGATAATGAAAGATGATCTGCTGTTAGCGGAGATAGATCGCTTAAAGATTTGTACTGAGTTTCTTGAAATTTTGACAAGTAGAACACTACAAAGGTGAGAACATTATTGAATTGTGAGGATTTGATCATAAGGTAAGTAAGCATTGGTGTACCTTTTTCACGCTACCGTCCAAAGTACCACCAGAGATATGCTTCACAAAAACTTCGAATATATTCAAACTGTTCACTGTCTTCAGTTTGGCAGCACTCCTTTCTTCATCTGTGTGCAAATAACAATTGAGCACTGCATCATGAACATGAGTGTTTATAATGGGATTCAGTTGGTGGTTTAGGTGAGCAGAACATATCGAGCTTCTCGAAATTTAGTTAGTAAAACAGCAACATCTAATTGGTAAGTTATTATACTTCCTTGAGTGACAATAATTAAGGCATTTGATAACTATCAAATGCTAATATCAACCATATTTTAATAGTTCTTTAGTGTTTTACAGATGTAACCGATCAAGTACGAGTTATTAATGCGTGCTATGTCAATGATTTTAGAAAGAGTTATCGTACTGAAGTGACTGAGTAAACGAAGGAAATCCAATTGAAATGTGCAGTGAAGTTCAGAAGAAAATGCCCAGACAGACGATTTTTACAAGCAATTCAAGTTCAAAAAAATCGTTGAAGTGATCATTTTTGATGGTTTATTATGATCAAATGCACGATTGTGATCTGGTGGGATTATTTGATCGCTAATCAAAACTCTCACCGGCATGAATGGCTTTCGTGAGCATTCTCAACAATCCCAACCCTAAATTGTAGGCGCGATGCTGTAAGGCAGCCGTTAACAACTCTGCGAGTGTACGTTCATTGTTGCCGAGGATATCCAAAATCATGTAGATGATTCCCTGCCAATCGTTACGCACCACAATACTTGTGATACTCGTCTTTGGAGTGGGTTTTTTGGGTTTTCGCCGATTCGGTATCCAAACCCAAGGTTCATCAATCGGACTGGGTGGTTCCTTCTGGGTGGTTATCTGGAATGACAATATCCATATCCATAACATGCCCGCATATCCACGATGAGTTAGTGAATGCAACAGAAGACCTTTGAAATCAATGAGATTTGTGTACAAATCATTATTCATTGGGACTGATATAAGAGCAGAAGTATTCTTCAAACTCCGACGACCTCCTAAAGAGTCGAAGAAGCAAAACATGAAACTATTCGACAGTACCGTACCGGAACAACAACGTCACTTTTGGCTTGAATCAGCGTGAGTGTGCACGATTCATGATTATTTTGCACGGCATAACACAACGGTGTGTTGCCGGCCTTATTGGCTTGATTCGGATTGCAACCGTATCGAAGCAGCGTCACCATACATACGTTCGCCCCACATCGTGCAGCATAATGCAGTGCCGTATTACCATCGTTATCCGCCACATCCAACTGCAATCAGATACGCTTTCTGTTTCAGTTGTTTGATACTAAAGTTTCAACAGAATCCGACAAGGAATTTCCGGTTTTAACGATGAATTCTGTGCACTCTGTGGGAATATTATTGCAAAAATTGAGCACATTTGCTCACCATCGACTTATCCATTGCCTGTTCGATAATTGAAACAACCGCTATGGGATCGATTGTGGATGATGCTTCGTCGGCGATATCTTCGTGCGAGCCAGCGAATGCAAAATGCAACGGTAAACGCCCTCTCGAATCCCTAAAACAAGCTCCTAATTATCAACATTTATCTAGATTTCAGTGGCATTTACACAAATGAATTGCTTCAGAAAGTGGTCACGACCGGTAAGTTTAATGGGATTTCAAAGATTTGAAATCCCTGCACGGATGAATTGAAAGAATGAGATGAAGTAAAATTTGTCTAACATTAGTTCTAGAGCCTTGATTTAGATGGATTCTCATTCTTTTTAGACGTGTTGTAATCACTCTCATAGCTATTACATGTGAATACCGTTCTATTGATGAGTTTTTCTCATTCACTACGTCTCATTTCACTTCACAGTTCGAATCGATTTCTCATTCTGCAGCATACACTGTTTACTGGATGCGTTGACGAGTGTTGACAACCGAAATCAACAATGAAACAATTGAATAGCATTGCTCAACAACTTTCGACTATCAAACGATTGATTATAGAATGTATTTGATAGAATGAGAATTTGACTTTAACTGTTGAATGAAATGAATGAGAAATTAGCAGAAGAGAACAATTTCGATGATAAAAGCTATGAGAGCGATTCGAACAGCAAGGAAAAGAATGAAAACCCTGTTAAACCGAATGAAAACCCCATTAGACCTTTACGAGATAATCATACTCAAAAATTAGAAGAATATTGCCATCAACTAATATTGCATTTACATACCCGTCAAATTTAACACCATCGCAATGGCGTTCGATCATAAAATAACAACAGCACGAAATACTAATTACCCAAACCCCCTCCATTACCCCTTCACTCGCTCAAATTACCCAAAATGGGCAATTTCACCCCTATGAGAACCGCTGTTCTAGAAAATAGTGAGGTGCGAGTTTAATTCGCTGCTGCAACCTTGATTATATGATGAACGAAGAACCCTACTACAACTGAAACCTCGAATGCAGCGAAAATTTGTCGAATCACTTACTGAGAATTGAGACCGGTTTTATTTTGAATGAACCATTCCAAAGGTTCGGTTAGCACATCAGATCCTTGGCCTCGCACCGCATCGACGGCGATGTGCAACGGGTATATGCCTCTATCATTTGGCTGCAATTCACTCGAATCTTCACCGACAATAAGTGAAGTTTTTCGATGAGTGAAAAGAATGGTGAAAGAGAAATGAAACAAAACAAATTCGAGTGTTCACCTTCAATTCAACACCTTTCCCCTTCAAAAACTCAAAATATTCAATTGATTCTGCCGACTGCATTCGAGCAGCGTAGTGGAAAGCGTTATTGCCATCTGCTGTACATGAATTCCACTGTTCACGGCTCAAATTCAGTTCGCGAAGAATCTAAAATGTATAACTCTTTAGCTGGTACCATAAGACGCATTTACAATAATTTGGAATATTGAATTTCAAAATTAAGTCAATGAATTTTTAACTACAATTAGTCGCAGCCATTCGAATGTCATCAGATCACCGTTGTTTTGCAAAAAAACTGTCATTGAAAGACATGAAATTGTTCGGTAGTGTCACTGATTTTGAGGATGTTCGACCAGTNAACATTAAAAAAACTTACCACAAAGAGCCTTTTTTCCAACGCACATATCATGACAGATTTCTTGAGCGGCACATCTGTAAAACAATTGCTCTCATCGGGGAAATTTGCCCTCAATGAACATCAAAGTAGTGGTATCCGAAATAATGAACAACTGGAATTCGCGAAGTGTCTTCGGCTAATTTGTTTGAATTCACGACAAATTCAGTGTTTTCCTTAAAGAATCTCTAAATTCTGGTCAAAGCAATGACAACCATGATCAAAACATATCAAGAATGCAAGAATCAATTGAAACGAACAAGTGTTTAGGCTCCACTGTCGTTCTATCTTATCGTTGTCGAGATATACTCCCTGTCGCATTAAATACAAACTCGTTTCCACATCTCCTTGCATAACCGTATGCAGCAGTGGTGTTTCATCATTATTATTCCTTTGTCTCAGAAGTTCCTGAATTTTGAAAAATCCGGTTCAATTTATAAGTTTGAGTCTCCAGAAACCTTACCGAATGAAACTGATAAATTTTCGTGAAAACTGAGAATTCGAGAGGTAGCGCTTGATTGTTACATGACAGTTTTTCGTCTGCAGTAACAAGAAACGGAGAAAAGCATTATAGCAACTGATNTTACGAATCTGAATGCGAATTTTGCGTGAACATCTAACAATAAGTAGGCAAGTGATGGCATTTCAAAGTGTTCGTTTCGTTTTGACGAAAGGGGACGAAGCATTCTAGGAGAGGACTGTCAATAAAACTACAAATAACATAGCTCTCGATTACTTCGAAATTACTCTTGATTATCCAGATGATCTAAAAACAAGTCATCAGAGCCTATCATGGTTGGCAAACTGACGAGTTCCAATTGCTAACCAATAAAATGTGTGCTTAAAAGAAATAAACGACTTTCCAAGAGCTCATTACAGCTGAAATTCCATTTGCTCATTGCAGAGCGATTTCAATCCACTTCGGTCAACATGATGAAGACCAATGCAAACTGAGTCTGGACTATGCGAGTTAACTAGTTCTTAGACGAATCTCCAAACAGGCTTACACTATTATCTTGTTTCGTCTCATCCGCAGATGATTCACCCAGTGAATGCAGTAAGACACGGCTGTCCAAAGAAACGAGCGTTCTTAGAACTGCACACATTGTGTACAGAAATTGCTCGCAATTAACCTGAAATTTGAGAAATATTAATAGAAATAAGGTCTCGCACTTAACTTGAGAATTTTGACGATATTGCATCCGAACTGATTACATCAGCACCAAGAATGATAAGGATGAATTGATAGTAGGAACAATAGCAGTAAAGATATCTATAATAAGAACAGCACGAATGATAATGGTGGTTATAAGGATGACAATCAAAGAATAACTAACATAACAAGTTTTATGTTCATTATGTTCAGCGTTATACATGTAAACGTTAACGCTGACTTCCGTGTACAGTTTACACAGGAGTGTGACGGGAGTAAGACCCTTATTGTTCTTCTCATTGAGCCAAGTGACCATTTGGGCGGAATCTATCGAGATGAAACGTTTCAGCAACGGTATAATGTTGTACTGTCCACCGGACGGGCCACATCTACCCGCCCATCTCTGTGGTTCTTTCATAACCTGCAATCCATTACATATCCTCTATTTCTATAGAAACGGTCACAGCTTAGATATACTCTGAGGAAGGCATACGCTATTGTGATGCTCAAAGCGATTTCGAGAGCGATTTCCCAATAGTAAAGTTTGCCTGTGCATGAGTCAATTGTTTTTCGGTAAAAGTGTTCGGATCGCCATATGATTTCTTTAAATTGATGACAAATATTCAAGTGCTAAGTTGCAGATTCTGTTCAGTTCGAGAACAAAATGTTGTCAAAAGGTTCATCACTGTTCGTATGGAAGGAAACAAGTTGAAGAAACCAACTCTGAATGGGAGTTTGATCAAAGAATGAAGTATATTGCCGCATTTATCGGAATTCGATGTGGTCTCATCGCATAGCGCACTCATATCAAGGCCTTCGTTGAACATTTTATCGAGCAAATATTCGGTCAAGAGAAGATTATTCGCCTTCAGTGCCAAATTGAACGCATCCAACCCTGCAACGAAATCACTTTTTGGATATACTTCAAAACTTTATGTAATAGGTAGGAGCTCCTCATCTCTCGTGCTTGTCCGGCANACTCATATCAAGGCCTTCGTTGAACATTTTATCGAGCAAATATTCGGTCAAGAGAAGATTATTCGCCTTCAGTGCCAAATTGAACGCATCCATCCCTGCGACGAAATCACTTTTTGCATATACTTCAAAACTTTATGTAATATGTAGGAGCTCCTCATCTCTCGTGCTTGTCCGGCAGAATATAATTGTTCTTTCATCTTATGAATCCTTTCATCTATTCAGTAATCGCCAAGTTGAAGACCAAAAGAACGATGAGAACATACCAGGCTCATTTCTGTCGAATATTCGTGCGCCGTTTTCAAGAAGTAAGTCCACACACCTCAAGTATTCTTCTTTTGTCAGACGTGCTTCGTTAGATTGCACATCAAAATCTGTTCTCGTATTTCCAGTGATCTTCAGAATTGCAATTTTGCCTGCGAACACATGCAATGCACTGTTCATTGCTGTATCTTTTAGTGAGCAATCGGCACCTTTTGCTGAAAGAGACGAAATTCTACGAGAACACGCATAAGCCTAACTATAAGGATAGTTGCACTTGTCATTCGACGATATCTCTGAGATTGACCAACTTCGAAGGAGCGAAAACCTAGCTTACAATTAGTTGAAATGCTCTGCATGAAACGTTTAAAAAGTTTTGAGAAACGTTTGATTTGTTTTGGATGGAGTTAACGCTATAAACTCTGATCGTAGTTTTTGTGGCGTAGTTTTGTGTTTTAAAAGTGCAAGCATTTTGATTCATTCTTAGGAATAATTTGAGAAATACCCGAACCTACCGATAAGATAGCTTATTTGCTTGAGGATATCCTTCGACGAGATTTCCGAATAGCCATCGATAACAGACGAAAGCAACGATGTACCGTTTTGATCACAACAGTTCACGCTAACCTGACCGCAATATGGGCCATCAATAAGCCAGTCGACAATGCCCAAATGACCTAACAAGAAGCAACTCTCTACATTCTGATATACCATGATACAACGAACCACTCTTATGTACTGAATCGAATAATGAATAATTAAGTATTATTAATCAGTAGCCGTTTTGCAAATATGTTGATGAAGGATACAGATTCATGAAAAATAGACCAGCTCATAAGAAGCAGTGAAATTCCTTGGGAAAATGAAGATATTCATCGACTTTTGAGATAAGATTCAACAAACCTTTCAAATATGCTACAGCAAGTGGCGTCAGATGCCAATCGTTATTCTTACCCAGACAGGACGCATCCACTTTTGCTAACATTTCTAGACAGTCCAACCTGAATACGTTCAATCATTCATACAAGTGAAAACAACTTTAGTTTGAGATCCGACAAAGAATTGATGTGTTTTGCTTGTAAAAATGATCGAAGAAATTTAGTCAAGGAAGCGAACGACGAATAATTACCATCCATAAGCGGCCGCATAATGAGCTGGAGTATTACCCGAACTATCGGCTTCACAAGGTGAAGCACCACGTCTAAGCAGCATTGCGACAATATGATTCTGTCCACAGATAATGGCATGTGTCAAAGCCGTTCGCTTGAATTTATCGCCCTTTTCAACCATCGCACCACCGTCGTCGATTAGCACGTCCGCAATACTCCTAAGAAAATTAAACAGTCGCTCTTGTCAATTATTCTAATCTCGCTCAAAAAGTCACCATTTGAATCTAGGTGATGGCGGTAGAGTGTGAATCAGAAGTATTCTTCAACTTTCGATTGAGTTTCGGAGTATTCTGCTCATTCGAAGCGTTTTCAATCGCCAGGTAAACATTTCGATGTCAGTCCGTTTCTATTAGATTTCACATGAACCGATGACGTCGTGTGCCGGAGTTACACACGATCCAATGAAGTTCAACTGGCTTAGCGATGTCTTATTGGCTTTTAATAGGGTCATTGTTTCATAGGCTTACCGAAATCCCATTCGGCAGGCAATCATTAGCGCTGTTACGCTACCTCCTGCAGCTGACGTTTGCAGGTTCACTTTGGTGTCAGGATCCGATAATAACACTTCAACTACCTGAAAATCGCACAGAATCAAAGTTTGTAGCATACAAAGTACTGGTGTGAAATGCGTATCAATTACTAAGCTGACAGAATAAGGAATTCCATCTGTGCATGGTTAACACAAATAGAATTCCAGAAATTACACCCATTCCATTCTCATCCTTCACATTCCAGAAATCGGAATGAATGTTGAAAACATTCAAGTCAATTTAATTATTTGAACTAGCCGAATTTTTCCCGATTGGGAGGCATTCTAAATGAATCGAACCAGTTCAGACCGGAACAAAATCTCTCAATCTCTCGAGACAAAAATGACGAGTTGATGGCAAACAGGATAAATGGAATTTCAATGCAAACGATAATTACGGACTTCTTGATGTCCTCTTTCAGCAGCTATATGTAAAGCACTGAGTCCCTTCTTATTTTTCGCGTTCACCATTGAGGCTTTTCCTTTCAATTTCACTGTCCGTGGCGCTTTTTGCTTGTTTGAATGCCGCCCCCTCCCAGATCCGTGAAGATACTGCTCCAATTCGGCATATTCTTGTCGAGATTCAGCGGTCTCCGGTCGAGAAGCTAACTGATTAGCCACTTGTTGCTGCTGATTATTATGGATTGCTTCGAGCAGAATCTGCAATTCAGAACGTGAGCAGCCACATGGAAACGATCAAAATCAACGTTAGTTTATCATCTGGGGTGCATTTTCCAGCCAAATTTTCAAGCATAACCAAAAATCAATGCTTAACNTTTTAAAAATTAGTTCTGAATGTTTAAAAATTCCATCGGAATCTTGAATTTTATGTTTGTTCCGATATAACTCATCGAACAAATACCAGTTCAGTCCTATTTCAACGCAATGATGTATGAAAGCAAAGGCGTTAGGTGGCATTTCCATGCTATCACATAGCTAATATTCACAGCATGAGTCTGCGACTTCTTTGCTGCCTCATGTTTCAGATCTCTTTCAGATATTCAGTTCACAGTTGCTGACTGAGTTGTTTGAAGTATTCCCAACGAATCTCAACAATCAAAAATAATTTACACCTTAACATTGTCGGCTCTGCCCGCTCGTGCAGCACAATGCAGTGGTAATTCATTGTACTTAGTCAGGAATGTGACTGGTGTATTCCGTTCAAGAAGTAACTTCAACGGACCACTTCCTTCACAAACAGCCGCATAATGGATTGGATACCTGAAGTGCATTGTAGTCCATCAATAGTTCTCCCATAATGCGAAAAAGTTCGATTGTACGAAGACTTAATCTCGTCGATATGTGTACTCGATTTTAAAAATTATAAAGTGGAAGAAGATATTCGTAGACAGCAGAAAGTGCTGTATGATGTTCTGTAAGAGGAAACTATTTGGAAGAAAAAACGTTTTCACATTTCGTAAACGGTCATGAATTCATTTGTAACCCAATCTCTTTAGGTGTTCGCAATCACCACGAACTCCCAAGAAAGGTCGATAGCAAAATTACTCAACAAGTCATAACTGACCAATTGCATCGATCCGGAAGATCAAAGTTTTGTCTAAACACTGAAAGAATCTCCTCCAAATAGGAAGCATTCGGATTTATAGCTGCCGTATGTATCGGTGTGATTGAGTCATTTGTTTGCGCCTTCTTCACGGTCGATATAGGTTTGAATTTCTAAAAAATTTGAGAAATAAGATTCAGTGGCTATTCGGAACTTGTAGAGAAAGCGACTGAATTGGAGTGTGGGATGAAGATTCTTAATCACTGATATATTTGTTGCGAGAACATTTTGGAATTGATAATTGAAGAATAAAAGTGCAGTTTAAAAAACATGGAAGAATCATCAACGGCATTGGTACACCACTCGGTTTCGACTGAAACCTTCCCAAGCGAACTGAAAGAGGAAGGTCTTGCTCGAAACCGATTGATGTACCAATGTTATTGATNGGGGATGCTGAATGATGATGGCGATAGCTTACAAATGGAGCCTAAATTGGTAATCGGTGCGTCGCAGATTCAACTCCAGTTGGTGGAGGAAAATTTTGCTCGAAACCGATTGGTGTTCCAATGTTATGGATTTTGCCAAGTCTGAGCCAGGCTATGATTTGGCTTGTATCTAATCATCTGTTCACGTTGAATATGGAAGTGTACATGTAGAATTTTAACAATAGCGGAATGCGTTCACATTCACATTTATATAGAATTTGGTGTGGAGAAATACATACCGTTAAGGGCTGATCATCGTTGAGAAGTGTTTCAATGTGTAATTCATTGAACGAATATTGCGAATACGTCTTAATCAGATGTCCAGCCAGCTTCCTATTGCCAAATCGCACTGCGACAGTTATTAAGTCACGGTAGTATCCAACCTAAACACATCCCACATTTTCATAAGCTTGATTTTTGCATGAATCCTTTCACTGTAGTGATTTTTTAGCAGCGGTCGGTTAAATGTTACGAAGAGATTTGGTTTACGAACAACGTGTCAACAACGTCTGAAGAAGGCATACTCGAGAAGTGGTCTTGTGAAGTTAAAACACACATACACAAACACCCATTTTGGTGTGACTTTCGAAGCGCTTGTTTCGCAGAAAACCGTATGTAAGACACCCGTATTAGCGACATGAACCGCAAGCAATAAGAGAAAATCAATCACGCTGANAACTTGAGCAACACCTACAACGCCTGATGAATACTTATGGCTCGCAATGTACTCCAATGTCCGGAATGAAACATTCTTCTCTATTAAAGTCTTCACTTGAGTTCCCAACGCGAAGTATTTATCAGCATCGTGATTCAATAAAGCATTATTGCCTTCACGTCCACCACGCGTCATCTCAATTTTTGCTGTGGCATGTCCCAGCATATACTGATTTTGCTCACCAGTCGACACCTGCAATCATTTGTAAAGGACATTAATTAACCGGAAAAAAACAACGATAAAATTCTCGCGAAAACTTACACTCAAAAAAAAACTAGCGAAAAGTTTTCAATTTTTCATGCATAGGATTCGATCTTCCGCAGTGATGCGGATAAAGGAAGATCGTGTACGTATGAAGACACCAGATCGGCGTACAGCTAACCGTTTTGAGAAGAACACGTTCTGGAGGAGCACGACCCGAAGAAAAGTCTATGTTCGACTGTAAGCGATCGCTTAGCTCGAAAACTTTGTCAATGAATTCAAGATCTTCAGTTAAGACGGCTTCAGCTTGTGGTGTTAGATTACTCGCACATGAATACGGTCGTATAAGAGAATTGCCGTCGAAGTGTGCCTTATCGGCTGCTACTTTTTTCAGTCCTTCGATATCCTTCTAGAAACCAAAAACGGTCATAAGTTGAAACCGCCAAATTCATGTTCTTGGATAAGGTTATTAAAACGGTTTTGCTGTATCAACTCTACGCGATGATTTCAGCTTATTTTCATCGTATTTCCGAGAAAGTTTTGAAGTTAAGACATTCAATATGGGTCAAAATGGTTCATTTCATAAAAACTGAAAACAACTGGGAACCAGTCATTCGAAAAAATCACCGTCAACACGAAACGATGCGCCATGCGATGATAAGTTCGGACGCTAACGAATTTCGGCAAAGATTTTCCATAAAAGTAACTATTGGCAGCCATATCCTCAATATCTGTTCTCGGTATCAACTGATTGTTCTTACGTCTCTTTTTTGGTGGGGTACCTGGTGGTGGCTTCGCTGTAATTCAACAAATAATTAGCATATTCACAAGTTGATAAGAAATTTAGCTCTCGTTCGAATGTAATCAAGGTTTGCCAGATGCGACAACTGTGAATTGATCATGATGAAAGCGTTATTTGAAATTTTTTTGGTTTGCTGGACATTCGTCTGTGCTTTTTACTGCTAATTATTATCAATGAAGTTGTTCAAGGAAGAGAGGTCAGACTCTGCTTTAGACCTGGAAATCAAAGTCGTCCAGCTTACTGATGATAAGTATCTTATTGAGCAAAAATGATGAAATCGCCGATGACGGCTTCAAG